GAAGCATGGGTTTTCCAAATTTAGTCCGCAAACTTGTAGCGATTGTCCCTGTGCTTTGTAGATAGTCATTGTAGACGCGTGTCGCATCGGAAACTGTAGGCGTTTGAATTCAAATGGCATATCTGTTGGAATCATTGGGGTGAATGGCAAAAGTACATCACCTAGTTTAAATTTTCCATTTAAAATAGTAACTTCAATTGAACCAATTTTGGAAGATTCATTTGAACAAATGTACCGTACCTAATGCTTCGATATCAAAGTACGTTTCTCGTTGCAAATCAAGAGCGAAACGTTTGTTTGCAGATCGATTCCGAGAGGTCATTCCAAACTCATGAATCATCAATCGATATGAATATTATTTCATGGCACTGACTTTCTTATTCGAATTTCTCAATTTGATGTCAAATGATATCCATCTTCTCCTTGCCAAAATAGAATATGATATTGCAATCAATCGTATTAGTGATGAGTTTCTGAGACTCGCTGAACATCCCCACTACTGCGATGAAGAATTATATCACGTGAGTTAAATTCTTCGCCAACTATAATGATCGCCACTTTATCAATTGTTGGTGCATTGTATTGTCTTTCATGTTGGCCGACAGGTGTTTAGTCTGCTCTAACTATGACTTTGTATTCATCAGTCAACATCTTTTCAAGTGCAATTCTGAACGTTTGAATTAATTCGTTGTGTTGCATTAATAACGTTTGCATTGCAGCGACGATTTCTCGTTTAGTGCCCCTATTTATATGACAACGTTGATCAAGTGTTCATCAGTATTCCCCATGAAATCATGTTAAGACATTTGTGATCTGTGTTTGGCATTAGAGATCATACACGATAGTAAATTTGGCCTTGCATTTTACTTTAAATGTTGGCATGTAATTCTCGAGCACGATATTTGTTGCACCGAACGATGTCATTTGGAACATGAATTGCACTTGCGTATGTTTGCCAAGAAATTTTTCGATTGGCTTGTGTTACCTGATACCAACGTTGATAATGGTTCCGGTGGTGAAAGTAATTCTGGTAATTTCATTTTCCCATCCGCGCAGCAAATTCCCGGTGTTTCGTTTTTAAATTTGAGGGCACTGCAATACACGCATAATTAATCTATTTTTGCAATAACCACACTTGGATTAAGACTGTAATCATAATTAGCATCGTAATGGAATGTACTAAGATTTAATTCAGCGTGCAGTATTAGTCTGGATCGAGCAGTGTGTACTCTAGCGGAATCCAGTCTTGTTTCTCGCTGCTCGAATGATTCAGACAAACGGGTTTCAGCATTGCTTAATCGGCCGGTTTTGATTCTTGGTTTCGATTGCTCGACTGTTTCAGGTGAACGGTATTGAGCATTGCGTACTCGAGTGGATTCTAGTCTTGCTTTCCGTTGCTCAACAGTTTCGAAAGATCGGGACTACTTTTCCTTTTGTGCTTGAGGTTGAGATAGACCCACAAATTTTTGTTTGGGTGGAATAATTGATTTGACAGCGAAATTATTGCTTTGTGACATCTGTTGTTAGCAATGGTATTTCCCAATTAACACAACTTGTTAGGTAACAAACAAAATGAAATATCGCTGTTTGTATATGATTCAATTAATTTACAATATTCCTAACGCTCATAATTTTCACACGTTAGGATCTCCCATCTTTTTACATGAAAACCTCGCACAATAGGTACGTTCATTGTTGGCAGGAGATTTCCAGTTGTATAGTTTCACATTAATTTATAAATCGTAAATTCCAGCGGTAAAAAAATTACCATAGTTAAATTACCATTTAATTTCTTGAGAAACCATCGATTCATGTAAAATGTATTTACATAACACAAAACAACTCTGAAATTATAAGACTCTATTCAAGAAATACTTTTAGTTGAAAAAAAAAAACGCGATTTCGATGTCATTTCCGATTCTAAAATACGTCACAAAATTTAAGCTTATTTATACACATAACAAAAATACTCTCTACACTAAAAATGCAAAAACGTGTTTTCTCTGCTTTACTACAAATGTGTCATTTGTTCAAGGGCGGTAGTGTTGATATCTTCGTTATAAATTATATTGATGAAGCTCATTTAAGAAAATAAATTGAATTTAGGGGCCCCAGCCCTAATTGGAATATTGTACAATGGATGTACTAAATTTGACAAATTTGCTGGCGTATTCAGCTCCATCCACACATGCAATAGCTCTGTTTGAAATTATAGTTATAAAGCTCTTAGAAGAAAATATGAAATTAGGGTCACTGGCCCAAACGGAATATTGTAAAATGTTTTTTTCTAATTTAGAAACATTTGCGGTAGTGCGCATTTCACTTGACCCAGTTTTATCACAATCGATTGAATGGTATAGAAATGCATACGATAATTATATAGATAATAGAAGTGTGGAAAACGAATTTTGGGCCCCTCGCCACAAATGGAAATTGTAGAATTGTTGTATTACTTCAGAAACCTACTTAAT